ATATATTTTTTAAATAATGTCTATTAAGTATAAAAATAATTAATGCTAGAAAAAAGTAAATTCTTAGGTACAAAACACATCTCAAAAAATTATGAAATAATAACTAATGACATGTATTAAAAATCAAAATTTAGTATAGAACTAAAGTTTATTAAATTTAATCTAAATATAATATTAATTACTAACTACATAAAAAAAAAATCACAGTAAACAAAAGCATAAAATAAATAAATAAATAAGGCAATACAAAAATAAGAAGAAGTAGGTTAGCTTTTTCTTTACGTAAACTTGAGTCTCAAACTAGGGCTGAGCCTATAAAAATGGGGTCTACAGAACACCAATAAACAGAACATAAATGGGAAATATCGAGTTCATAAGTAGTATTTTAAATCACAAATCAAATGTACATAAATATAGACGCAGACGATGCACAACCTTCAATTTCAGGGTATATGCAAGTTTTCATTGCTTCATCCAGGTGATTATGTGAACATTTCAAACAGACAGAACCCTAACGATAGATGGTTAAGGAGTGGGTTCAAAAGCAGCCTGTTCATGCCAAACACCGTTCAAGTTAGACTGCCATAACCTTACCATCCCATCACTTCCTGTAGTTGCTAAGGTCATTCCACTCATGTCCCACTCCATTTGCCATACCTAATAACAAAGGAACATGTCAACATGCATTTTGTTAATCAACAAAAATGAAATAATATTGATATGATTCTCTGCTTCCAAATGTAAGGACACTATAAGATATGAGGATAACTGTTTCGGAATTTAAGCTTCAACATTTATATTTTGACAGAAAGAAATAAATACCAAAAAGTCAGGTGCAAATGTTAGCACAGATACCTCACCACCGTGGCCAGAAAGTAATGCAACCTTCTCTACTGAGAGCCTTCCATCCAAGTCAGGGGTTATTCCAAGATGCCATATTGCAATTCCTTTCTGGGATGCAACAGCTATTAGTTCAAACGGCCTATTAAAAATTATTGAAGGTCAGTATAATGCTGATTTACAGTATAGAGCTCCAGAAAACAATCCCCTTTGGACCAGGCAAGAAAGGAACAAAACTAAAATGCCATAAATGAGGACAGCAAGCCTATTGATAACAAGTTATACAATAATGCAAAGTAAAGCCTACTTGTGAGTCATAAAATGCATTTACAAAGAGGATATCCATTACCGGCCAATGTTTGGTGCCCATGTAACAGAATAAACTTGATCACCCTTATCATCAGCTGAAGCCAACTCTGCAACTGGGAGCCATCTCTGATGAGCTGGATCAAACTCCCAGACCTGTAAAAATTCTAAATTCAGTTTAACTAAACATGTAATTTCAATGTTGAAAGCACATTGGCAAATTTCCTGGTCATTCTGCAATTATTCAAGAATTTATCAATAAAAATAAATATAGATAAGATTCATGTTACAAGCAAGATGCCTTTAGGAATGGACAGTTAAACTCTGGATCATATTAGATCAGAATTTAGCTGCAGGATGCATACCTTTGAGGAATTGAGTTGTGGAGTATTGGAATTAAAACCCACAACAAAGCTTGATTCTTGGTTTTCACCTTTCTGTGGATTCCAAGAAACACATGCTGACAAGCATGAAGCCTTCCGAAATGAAGATACAGAGTCTATTACATTCTGAAATTCAGCCTGGAGAGAAGGAAAATAGGTATAAGAATCAAATCATTTTAAGAAAGTAGGTGTAGGCCTATGGTGCTCTCTGATGATTTACCTTCAATCTCTGATGAGAGGCCTAAAATGAAGAATTAAATAAAAACAATAAAATGCTAGAAGATTGGGAATTACTTGACACCTGGAGGTTAAAGAAAAAACAATAAAGATTCACAGCTATATTTACATATTAAGAAAGAAGGAGAGAAGTAGCATAAGCATAATAGATATCTATTGCACATAAAGAAAACTGCTAGATTTTTTGAGGACAAAAGAAGAAGAAGAAGAAGAAGAACACATAAAAGAAGCCACATATACTATAGATGCAAAAAATGTTATTAAACATTAAAGCTTGCCATCAACAAAAAGAAAAAAAGATTGCCTTAGTAAACATTTTGAGGTGTGAAAATACAGAATAATTAAAGCAAGAAACCAGGGAAACAGGAAAATACAGAATAATTAAAGCAAGAAACCAGGGAAACAGTGATAGATCACCTGAAGTTGCCAATTTTTCAGTTCTAGAGGATCCATGAGCTCATAAACCTTTACATGGCCATCGGAGCATGCGGTAACCTGTAGGGTCAAAGAACGATAAGCTAAAGGAAGTAAATTCTAATAACAGAGTAAAGTAAATGTGGCTGAGCAAAATGTTTGTTTTGGTGATAAATTAGTAACAATTAAAAGCATCAACATGCAAAAAAGCTCACCATTTTCAAACTCCTTCCCATAACCCCAAATTGAACATCTAATGCTTTAGATGAACTGCTCTTAAAGCATTTGCACTTCTTCCACTGCAAAAGCTGTGTGCCCACATCTGTATAATATCCAAGAGATGGAAACAAAACAACAATGAGTGCATTAAGAGCAATATCAATCAATTCAATATTTTCTGTAATTTATCCACAAAAAACTAAAAGGTTCTAGAATCAAAATTTTAATCATTAGTTAATATAAATGTTAACCCAAAATTAAGTGAAAAAAAAAATGAAAATACTAACACAATTATGATTAAAAAAAGAGTGAAAAATATGAATACCTTCTACAACTTCTTCCCAAATCGATAAAGCACCATCAGCACATATGCAAGCAATGGCGTCGCCATATTCAGGAGGAATCCAAACAATCTTTACAATGCCAGTCTCATGTACCTAAATCAGATTAATCATGCGAATTAGACCTAAAATGAAAAAAATAATGAGCTAGAAAATGAATATGGGGAATCTGCGGACCTTAAATTTGGAGGAGGACGTGAGGGAGGAAGAGGATGGCTCGCGAGAGTCGAAGACGGAGACAGAACCGTCGTCGGAGCCAGCGGCCAATCTTTCTCCGCAGTAGTTCCAGGATGAGCAGGTCGTGCCTCTTTCGAGTGTCGCCACCGGTTTCTCCATGTCCGTACAGTCTCGTTTCCGATTCAAAGCTCCACCCAATTCCGTCTTCCTCGGGTCCGGTAGTATTACGATTGGCGTCAACTTTCCGCGAAAGGCAAAACCCTATCTGGTCCGGGGTTTTTGATTTAATAGGGCTGAAGCCCAATTGTGTAGGCTGCATGGTGGGCTAAACGGCTGAGCTTGATATTGAGACTTGAGAGAGAAACGTAGGTCGTGCCCAATTTTTGGAATTGGGCTTGATTCAGGTTTTCACTTTTTCTGGATTTAAACAAAAATTCGGACAGAAAATGAGATCATCATCATCATCCTATCCTCTAGGTTATGGCCCAAAAAGAATATAAATGGTCATGAAAAAATATATATATATATATTATATCAGTATTTTTTTTTATTTTTTATGGATCACTTGATGTCTGGAAGCTCATTGGATCATCGATTAATCTGA